GGTGATTCGGCGGCAGTGGACAAAAGATGCGGTGTCAGCACATCCGTTGCTTTTATTCCCGAGGGCCGCTTGGGAATGGCGGTTTGACGGAAATCGACTGGCTCGCCGCCCGCTTGCATCGTGGCTGCGATTGGGGGGTCCTTCCCCATCGCGTGAATCGTGGCCGCACGATCGGCTGGTTGAGCGGCGGAAGGCACATCCCCCGCTTCGGATGCATGCCGTGTCGATGATGACGAAATGCCCCTCGCAGCTGCGATTGGGGTGAGTCGTGCGAGTGGTGGGCGCTGCGTCCTCCAACACGCAAAAAAAGCCACATGCATCTTGAACGTGTCGCGGCCGCAGCAGCACTACCCAAAAAGGGTGCAGTGACGTGAGTGCTCCTCCCTGCCTTCTACTCGTCTCCCCCCTCCCTCCTTTTCTGCCTGCTGTGCGGGCGTGTAATTCTGCGGGTAGAAGAAAAACACCAAAAAAAACACAAAAAAAAAATTAATAAATAAATAAAAGAAAGTGACGGTAAACGCACGTACACGGCAACAAAACAAATCAGCAAAAAAAAAAAAAAAATTAATATGCCGGTCGCAAGGCGTATTCATCCCTGAAAGACGTCCGTTTTTGAAATAATAAAAAAAAGCATGCCGCCCATCGCAGCTGCGTGCTCGTGTTCTGCCCTTATCGTCGTCTGGAAGAGCGGCGTTGGATCCCACACACCACAACACCATCCACAAAAGCGGGAATAAATTTATTGAATTATTTATTTTTCTCTTTTCCTTCAGTCATACATTTTCTCCATTATCCTCTTTGCATTTGTCTGTTTCCTCTTCCTTTTTTCTTTCTCCTCCAGCTTCGTTGAAATGCCGCAATTCTTTCGTTTCACACAAAATATTCTTGCATATATGTATATATATATTTCTTTTAACTCATTCTATTCCCCCTTTCCTTCTCTTCCTACAGCATCATTGGACTGACTCAAGGGAAAGACTTGCCCCCCGAACAGACGTGTACCACATGCATGTACCCATGTTGCCAAGGACCGCCCCCCCACTCTAGATACACATGAATTTAATATCTGCGCGGCATCTTTTTCCGTTGGTGAGAGCCAAGAAGGTTGGACGACTCTGCTCCACCGCTCGGCCCAGCATCCGTAGCGAATGATACCTTGGAAGTTATGGGCTGAGCAAACGACAATGTGCCCGTGGGATTCGAGACACCGGAGGGAACGCCTGGAACGGACTGCAAGCCTCCTCCACCAAAGGCCCCAGAAGGGGCGTCATTGTACGACGGCGCGGCAAACGGATTTGGCCCCGCAGTGGAATCAACACCGGCCGAACCAAACGAAGACGGAAAGTTGGATAAAGGAGCACTGGCAGGAGTAGTAAAGGCGCCCGGCCCTGAAGGTACACTAAAGGGATTGGAGCCAGCGGAGGAGAAAGAAGGAACCGTAGGTGTCTGCCATGCGTCCGACGGCGCGGCGGAAACAGTTGTAAATCCAAACCCCTGTTTGGCAGAAAACTCATTGCCAAATCCAGCAGACATGTTATTAAAGGAGGAAGCCGATGGATTGCCACCATTACTAGAAGAATTGTTGGCCGTCGTTGTTTCTGCTGTCGCCACCCCTCCTTTGGTGGGCTCAACCACATTCATTGCACCGCCAAGGCCGGATGTGCTCGCCTCCGTTGAACTCCCAGAAGATGCGCCAAATGAAAACGGATTTTTTGGCATTGAAGTCGTTCCAGTCGCAGGCGTCCCACTTACCAAATTTCCGCCGAACGAGAAGGGATTCTTCTTCTCCGTGGAAGACCCTGCAGAAGTGTGTTCCGCTTTCATCGCCGGTTCAACCCCCGCCCCAGTCGAGGCTGTTGGGCCTTTAGAATTGCCACCAAATGTAAAAGACTGCTTTGGCGCTAATGAAACATCTGTGGCGGGTGCCTTATTCGTCGTATCCCTCGTGGTGGTGGTGGTGGTGGTGTTGGCATTCGCAGGGGGACGACTGAACGGCGGCAATTCCAACGACTGTGGGTGGGCATGAGGGTGTCTCTTTACATCTTCTATGGACTTCTCTAAAAGAGCAACGGCCGTGGACGTCTGGTTCACTTCGTTACGCAAGGTGGTGACATCGCCGCGGAAGGTTTCTACGAGAGTCTGTAGCCCTTTGAGAGATCCGACGGCACCCTCCATCGACGACTGCCTTCCATCCATCAGCTGCACATGTTTTCTGAGTTCCGCCACTTCTACTCGCAGGTCACTGACAAAACAACGCGCACCTTCTTGGGAATGTTCAATTGCCTCACGACTTCGTTGCAACTCTGCCCGTGTCTCCTCCACAAGTTTGCTTAAATGATCATACTGATCCTGCATCCGTCTCAGTTCTGTGCGGAGCATAGCGGTATTATCCTCTGAAGAAACACCGTCCCCTTTATTGATGTTCAATGGCTCCTTCCGTGCAAGTTTTGCGCTCCTGTAGTATTCTATAGACTCGTTCAAGAGGGACTGCTCTTCCTCGTTGGATATAGGCCGCACATGGCCTTGATGACTCAATTCATACGGATTCACAGCTCTACTATCGTCATGAAAATTTTTACTTCCCGCAGTGTGGCCTGCAGTTCGTACGGCAATTCCGTTGAAATGATACCCACGTGGCGCCAATTCCCGCCCTCGTTTTCCACGCATTTCGGATGTGTCTTTCGGTTGGCTCAGTGACACGCTTTCCATTGACAGATTTGGTGTGAAGAGCATGGGAACGGGCACCGCCAAGTCGCTCTGCACGTAAAAGTGATTCACAACGGGCGTGTTTGTCATCCAAGTCGTTCCCACAGCCGTGTTGATGCGTCTCTACTCCTCTGCGTAAATTCCTTCGGCCACAGATGCAATGTGCGGAATCCCTACTCAATCGGCAGCCACAATCAATCTTATTATATCCTCCCTGATTCACGTGCCATAATGTCATTACAGAAGCAGATGAGAAAAAAAAAAAAGAGAAGCAGAATGGAAAGAGAATATATATATATATATATATATGCATATTAAAGTGAAAGAAACATCCTTTCCAACCACCACCATGACACGCAGATACATACAAGGAAAAGGGGGGAGGATGTGAATACGCAGCATTTGAAAGAAACACTGACTCAACCCAATAACAATATTCGTCTTTTTTCCTTTTTTTTTTCTTTTTCCAACTCACCCGCCCATCCACGTATCAACCGCGACTGTTCAACTCGGTGTCGTGCTGTCCGCAACCCACTTGAGGTAATCCTCGCTGCCGGGCCCCATTGGCACGCTGATGATCTCCGGGACGTCGTACGGGTGATGTCGCGTCACATCCGCAACCACCTCCTCGATAAGTGAAGTCCGTGTTTTTATCATCATGAGGCACTCGCTCTCCTCCTGCAGGCGGCCCTCCCACCGATAGACGGATTGAATGACGGGAATGATGTTCACGCATGCCGCCTTCTTGCCCATGACCAGCTGCTTCGACAGCTCGCGTGCCACCTCCATCGAAGGCGTCGTCACGTAACACACAGAGAACATAAAGGAGAGTATTTGACACAACACAACTCCGTGAAGAAGAAAAAAAAAAAAAAAACAGCAAACCCCAATAATAATAAAAATTAAAGAAACTGCAAAAGAAAATAAGAATAATAATAATAATTTGCTCTCTGGACGGAGAACACCCCACCCCCTAAAAAAAAAGAAAAAAACGGCATGCACACGCAAGACGGCCACCAAAATGTGGAGGGCAACAGAAAAGGAGGGAAGGAATTTCATATGCAGGTGTTTGTATATATATATATTAGCAGCTGTAGTGTTTCCTTTCTTCATGGGAAAAGAAAGTGAAAGAAAAAATGATAATAATCCTCTTCCATGTGGTGGATGATCGCCACCCATACACACACACACACACAGACACGATTTCAATGCATCTCCTCCCCCTCAGTGGAGCACCATCAGTGGCAAAAGCAAGCACACACACACACACGTAGGCACATACACCCACTAAAGTTTATGTGTCACCGGGGTGGCCAAAGACAAAACACTGCCATCCAGTTCCCTCACACCTTCGATCTATTGGAAGTCCATCCAGGCACGGAAACGAGGTGTTCACCGGGACACACAAGAGCAGTGAGCTCCCCGCCATACACACACCGAGTGTCCAATCCGATCGCATGAGGGTAGCGTTGGAGGCCTCGTCTGGCGTCGTGGCCAAAGACAACAGTCTCCGGACCCTGCCACAGCGATGCCCACGGCACACCGTCCGTTGTATCCTCAGATGCCCTGTACAGCCCGTCATCCTGCAAAATGAGGTTGCGCATCGTAGTGACCTCCTTAACCAATTGCCGCTCAAGCGGGTGTTGAACGTGAAGGCCCGCATGTACCACCAGAATTTTGTGTGCGGGAATGCGGAGAATATGCGGCAGTTGTGATAAATACTCTTCAACATCCTGCGGTAGCGACATGGCAAGCGGGGCTAAACTCGATTGGCTATTCTTCCCGTGCAGCGCCCCATGTTTTCGTATCTTTTTCCGAAGTTTGAGAAGCTTGGCGTCATGATTGCCAATCACACCGCGTGCTCCAAGGCTCTTCAGCAGACGCACAACGCCAAACGAGTCTGGCCCTTTGTTCACCATGTCCCCAGCGGTGATTAACTGATCCCTTCCCCTCGCAAAGTCTGTGACTGATAAAATGTCCTCCAGTTGGGCAAGGCAGCCATGAATGTCGCCTACAATCACAACCCGCCCATTCACGTTGTGGAGAGTCTCCAACTGTGCGTATTTTTTTCCCATCGTGATGCTAACAGCACACATACACACACACACACACACAAACGCCCTAGTGCAATAAAAAAAAGGCACCAGACTATTGAGCGTCACAAAGAGAAAAATCACAGAGAAATAGTAACATGCAAATCCATTACAACCGCAACTGCCAAAACCACCACCACCACCAGCAGCGGCGGCAAAAATGCCCTGACTAAAATTCAGAAAAAAGAAAAATAAAAGGAAAAATATCTGATATGGCAGTAACGTCCATAATATATACAACCCCTCCAAGCGTCTTTTGTTCTACCGAGTTTCCTTCAGTCTATGGCTCTGCAAAACAGGCATAAAAATCTCACTGAACCTCCTTCATATTTGCATACATGCACCAAAATAACAATAATAATAATACGTGGATAAGTAAAAGCAGACAAACGGTATAAATGCGTGTGTGTATGTGTGCTCCTAGAGACAGTGATACCACACCACCACCTCCGCCTCTACCGGGTCAATGCAGACATAGCAGTAGTTCAGGTTACTGGGCTCCGCGTCATCGGTTCGAGTAA